TTTAGGTTTTGAGTTGAGGTTAAGGTTTAGGGTTAGTGTAAATTAAGGTACATTTAATAGATAAGTAATTCCACTAATTTAATAGATTAGTGGAATGTATATTACATACAAGATAAGAATCTGCAGGGGGCTATCCAAATGAAGTTTTACTAAAGTTCTACTATTAAATAATTGGTAATAACGGGTAAAAACAGTGTTTCTTTTTCAGCATTTCTTTTTATCCTACAACAAAAGAACATCGGGACAGCTTGTTCAGTGTCATACAAAAACAATGCATTTTAAAAATCCAGAATATTACCAAATCAGTTTATGATTTGTGTCAATGTGCCATAGGCTGTTTGGTGCTGGGACACTGTACTAATGTGCCTTTAAGTCTGAATTTACAATCTGCACATTAGTGTTCCATAATGCTGGTCAATCCTTCTCATTAACTCTTGTACACAATATCTTTTTTATAAAAAATAAATAAATAAATAAATAACAAAATATCAAGCTAATTTTTTGTTCACAATTGAAGGGGGAATTCCACTTATTTTTCAACATTTCTTCTTTGTTCACAGTGATGGTAATAGGAACCAGACGTCTGACTCTAAAAGCTCCCTTACAGAATGTTAGTACATGAAATGGTTATGAATACACTGCCTGATATTCGAGACACTGTTTTGAGAAAGTTTTGGTCCAAAACATATTACTAAAATCCATTCATTGTGGTGGGATACATGCAGGGTGCAGTGAGGCAAAATAGTCCCCATAGAAAACTGATTTTATTAGATAACCATTATTTTACCATCATCAGCATTACATACACTATATAGACAAAAGTATTGGGACACCCCCTCCTAATTATTGAGTTCAGGTGTTTCAGCCACGGTCATTGCTAACAGGTGGATAAAATTAAACACATAGCTTTGCGGTCTAGATAGACAAACACAGGCAGTAACATGCTCAGTGACTTTAAACATGGCACTTTCTGTCCTGATAGGTCTGCCCCTGTCAACTGTAAGGGCTTTCATTGTGAAATTGAAGCATCTAGGAGCAACAACAGCTTAGCCACAAAGCGGTAGACCACACAATCTCACAGAGTGGGGCCAGCAAGTGCTGAAGCGCACAGTGCTTATCCTCTGTTCAATCACTCACTAAGGAGTTCCAAATTGCCTCTGGAAGCAACATCAGCAAAAGAACTGTACGTCTGCAGCTTCACGAAATGGGTTTCCATGGCCAAGCAGCTACACACAAGCCTACAGGGGGAGTGGTGTAAAGCATGCCACCACTGGATTCTGAAGCAGTGGAAACGCATTCTGTGGAGGGACAGATCACACTTCTCTATCTAAGAGAAGTGGTTTATTTGCGCTTATGCATATTCAAGCTTACAATATTTAGCCTTTTTGTTTACATGGGCCTAGCTACAGACATACATAGCAACAACTACATAGATACCTAAAATATTAGGCTAGTTCTGGGGTTCTCAAACCCAATCCTGGCAACCCCACTCAAGCTCTAGCTCAACTGATTCAGCTCATTAACAATTTAGGAGCTTCTTGTGCTAGGTCTGGTGTGTTACAGTAGAGAAAACATAAAAATGTGCAGAGCATGTGGTCTCCAGAAGCAGAATTGGGAATCAGTGGGTTAGTTTCTATTGCTAGCTACATAGACCTAAAACAAAGTTGTTTTTCTTCAATTAGCTAATCAGATTAATTAAATCAAAGAGTTGATCATATCTCAGTGGTTCCTAAACCTGCCCGGTCCTGATCCTCGGAACTTTGTACTCTGCAGCTTTTTCTGTTTCTTCTACCTTAATGACATCACAATCACATGAGGAGTTTGTTAATAATTAATGAGTAGAATCAGCTGTGCTAAATGAGAAAACATGCACAGTATGGGGTCGCCTGTCATATTTAAGCATGACAGCTTATTATCAAACATTAAGAAAGAATTCCAGTGTTAGGATTACCCTGCTGAAAAATATAGGTAGTTTCAGACAATCAAAGCTGCTTTTTAATGGTCAAGATGGTTGACAAGCTGGACATCATGCTGTACTAGACAAAAACAATACGCGGATTAATAAGCTGTTTAAGTTTCGTAGACTAGTGTAATTGTTAATCAGCACAGAGTATCTTTTTATTTGGGTTTGATAGTTTAGCTTGTATACCTGCCTGGCCAACTTGATCAAGTCGGTCAACCAGCATGACCAGCTTGACCAATCTAATCGACCAGCATGAACAAGCTTGTCGCCTAGTCAGCTGGTCAACTAGCAGGGACACCTTAGTCAAGCTGTTTGAAAAGCTTGATCATAGCATTCACGCTAGTCATTAGACCATCAAACTCAGAAAAACATACCTTGTGCTGGTCAACTGGTCTACTAACATAAAAAGCTTTACCAGTCTGCTCTGCCAATCTGTTTTCATCCAGAGGGTGAGAAGAGAAAGAACCCAAAAAGTTTGCTTTCTCGTTTTTTTGTGTGAATAACGTTTTAGGCTCTATTCCTAGGATAGGATGTCTGCATGGCTGGCTACATCTGATTCTAGGTCAGAAGCTAGTTTAAATCAAGCTTAACAATGTGAATCTTAACTGTTGGTTGGTCAGTTCAATTTCTTAACGTATAGTGCTTTTTGATACTGCGAACACGCTTGTGATTTGCCTCAATGTTAGTCCTGCCATAAAAAGGGTATGAACTACGACCCCATTTCCAAAAAAGTTGGGATGCCATGCAAAATGTAAAAATATAAACAGAATGCAATTATGTGCAAATCATTTAAACCCTATATTTAATTGAAAATTGTACAAAGACAACAAATCAAATGTTGAAACTGAGAAATTTTATTGTTTTTTGAAAAATATATGCCCATTTTGAATTTGATGACAACAACATGTTTTAAAAAAAGTTGGGACCAGGGCATGTTTACTTCTGTGTTTCATCACCTCTTCTTTTAACAACACTCTGTAAGTGTTTGGGAACTGAGGAGACCAATTGCTGTAGGATTTCAGCTGCTCAACAGTTCATATTGTCATGTTTTTCATTTCATAATGCGCGAAATGTTTTCAGTGGGTGACAGGTCTGGATTGCAGACAGGCCAGTTTAGCACCAAGACTCTTTTAATACGGAGCAATGCTGTTGCAATACATGCAGAATGTGGTTTGGCATTGTCTTACTGAAATAATCAAGGCCTTCCCTGAAAAAAGATGTCGTCTGGATGGCAGCATATGTTGCCAAAACATGTATATATACTGTTCAGCATTAACGGTGTCACGACTCCCGTAGGCTCTGAACTTTCCTTGGACTCCATCTCCCAGAATCCCCTGGGAGATCACGTGACGCCAGCCTCACTTTCACGCTCCAATCAGCGCTCCAGTTCCCCAGAGTACTGATTGTTTTCACCTGTCTCTCTCTGATTAGTTTAGCTTATAGCCCGGGCTTGCAGTTAGTCTCATTGCGAGGTATTGCTTCTTCTCACAGAGCTACTGAGCGTTTATTTTCTGATTGTCTGTTCATATTCTGACCTTTTTGCTGTGTGTTTTGACCTGCCTTTTGCCTGACCCCTTTTGGATACTTTTGCCTGGTTATGTTTGTATTTTTGTATGTTTTGTCTTTTCTGGATCTGAACATTGCCTGTGACCTGACTACGATTGTGGATTCTGTTTTCACCAGTAAAGCTTCTCATTCCCTTTTTATCTGCAAGCGTCTGCGTCATTCTGTCGCGTTACAAACGGTGCCTTCACAGATGTGTCAGTCACCCATGCCATGTGCTCCCTCATACCATCATGAATACTAGCTTTTGAACTTGGCTTTTGAATAACATTTCTCAGTTTCAACATTTGAAATGTTGTCTTTCTACTATTTTGAATGAAATATAGGGTTTAAATGATTTGCATATCATTGCATTTTGTTTGTATTTACATTTTGCACAGTGTTCCAACTTTTTTGGAAATGGGGTTATACATCTAATGACATGTCGAATGAGAAACTTTGAAATTAAAATGTGGATTGGGAAAACAATATTTGGAAAAATATCAACCTTGTGTAAGTGAAAATAAATAAATACATAAATAAAAATTGCAAAATGAAAAACATTCTTTAGGAGAGAATCTTATTATGAAACACAATAAGAAAATATATAATTACATTACTCTCAAATGTACTGGTATTCATCAGCAGGATTCTATATTTTATTCTGTATATTGTTATAATATATATTTTTGTGTTAATTGTTTCAAAATAAAACAAGGAATGAATTTGTTTCTGGATTTATGTATTATAAAACTATTTCTATATATTTATTTATTATATTTTCAGCAACAGTAGGACAGATTTGCTCCCATGTGTGATTAAAAATGCTCTGCTCAAACATAAATATTACTCCACTGACATATGCACCATCCTAGAAATTCTTCTCACAGAGGTTTGCTTAAAAAACCTTGAAGAATAGACCCTTTAGAGCTGTAGCTTGGTGAGTAGTTATAACAACAGTAGTAGTTATTAACCCCGGTAAATGTCAAAATGATTTATGAGTTATGCGTGACGTCATATGTGAAATATGTAAAGTATTTTCCCAGGGGGGTTGATGTGTATAAAAATGTAAACATCAGTGGTATGACATCACGTGTGAAACATGTAAAAAAAATTCCCAGGGGTTGGTGTGTGTAAAATGTAAACATCAGTTATATGACGTCACGTGTGAAAATTGCAACTAATTTTCCCAGGAGGTAATGTGTGTAAAAAATGTGAACAACTATTGTAGGTTGTAAAGAATTTTTTTTTTCCGGTGATAAAATGTTCAATTTTCCCCAGGGTGCGTGTTGGGAGGGGTGGCAAGCGTGAGCAAATTTTCCCCCTTGAGAAGTGTTAATGAAAAAAATGATGTGAATTTTGTGTAAAAGTTTAAAGGGGTGTGAAGAATTAAGAGTAAGGATGAAAAAAAAAAGATGCGAGGACTTACCATCGGTGGGGTGTGGTGGGGTGGGGTGGGGTGGGGTGGTTGGGTCTGGGTATGGTGTGTGGGGTGGTTGGGTCGGGGTACGGTGTGTGTGTGTGTGTGTGTGTGTGAATGCTTTTTGATAACTACCCGAGGTTTGCCCGGTATGATGCGTGGGAATAATTTTCAAAAGATTCCCAGGATGTGTTTTGGAAAAAAAAAATTCCCAGGATGTGTTTTGGGAAAAAAAAAAGATTCCCAGGATGTAATGGTATGACGTAGTTATTGTTGTTGTGTTTTTGAGTGACAGTAGCAAGTGGGGGGCCCCGTTCTGCTAAGCGTGACTAATAATTGAACAGGTGTCGTGGTGTTTTTCTCCTCACAATACTATAAAAACTGGCCGTAAAAGAGACAGATTGGTGCGGAGAGTGACTTTTCTGCAAAACCATCGTCATGGATTCTCCAGACAGATCGTCTAAGGCTCAAGCCGGATCTCCGATCTTGAATTCCTTGAGCAAATGGCGCTATCGCACATTCATTCGGGACAACTTACAAAAGCGTGGAATACCTTATTTCGTGTGGCCAAACAGCCTAAAACGACTGAAACTGAAGGAGCAACCCCTGAGGACCAGTCAAATTTTGAGCGCGAGGAAGGTCTTCGTTCGCAATGACATAACTAAACACTGCTGGCCCCGTTCGATTCGGGAAGAAAACGATGTTACACCTTCGCAGAAGAAAAAGCAGGAAATCGACAGATTCAGAGCGGACGACAGTCTGTTTAAACCGAGCATAAAGAGGAGATGTCTTTCGATGACGTATTTGACAATTTTGCCGAAAGAAACCCGGCTGAACAATCGCTACATCGTTTTCCGTCAGAGCAGACTGTTTCACAGTGACAAGCCGACTGAAGTCTCCATTTCTGAAAAGGAGTTGTACCTGTTAAACCAGACCGTCCCGAAAACGAATGAAGTGGGGGAATTGCATGCTATGATCTTACAGGCCAGAAACAGGTCATGCATGGTTCGCGACACAAAACACAAGACCGAACTGTCCAGGTCAGCTACAATCACACTGAAGGTCAGATCCGCGCATTATTTGCGTCAAATCACCCTGACCATCACAGGGCTCAAGACCCCTGAGTTTACCTACAGAGTTCGACTGGAAGTGTGCACGTCACCTGTGATAAGGCATGAAAACGTGTGCTCCAGCGATGATGATCAGTGGATTTTTTATTTTGCCCCTACTGAAAAAGAAGAGCACGTCCAGCTGATTGAAATAACTTTGCGGGAGAGCGAACTACTGGATATTTATCACGCGGTCAAACATGTTCTGACAGGTAAGAAAAACGCTTTTTTTCTTAAGAATTCATTTTGACCGTTTGAGGTACCGTAGTTTGTGAATATAAGCCGTGAAAAGGATTATACCGTTTCAAGTTACAGCGTGTGGCCGAAGAGTAAGCATGTACGAGCCCGTTAAACCTTTTAACGATTTTCTCTCTCTATCACCAGCCAGCGTAATATGCGGTTGCGACAGCTGTCATATTCCACGCCCGACGAGTCTGATGTCTAAATACCAAGATGACAAAACAGCGATGCGCATGTGCGAGGACATGCCCAGCGGGAGAGATTGGGGGTGTTCCCCCACTCACCAGCCAGAACACGATGAAGAGAGTTCTGATCTAGACCTCGTGGAACGTAAAAAAGCGGCGAAAATGACATTTCAGATTCGACCAGCGCCAGCGAGGTAGAAGAAGAGGAACAGGAAGTCTCCGGCGTGACCGATCTGGACAGCGATGAATTTATCGTGGTGGACGAGGACGCCTTACAAAGCCGACCTTCTTCGCCGGCTGACATCGAGCAGCGTGAGAGAGAGAACGCGAGCGCTTTCTCAGGAACGGGGTCAAAAGGTCAATGCGAGGAACCTCTTGACGCCGGCGCCAGCTCGGAAAGTCAGAGCGAGAAGCCTTCGGACCTCAGTCTGAAGGACCGAGCCACGAAAATTGTGGAATTTATCTGGGCAAGAGCGATCATCCTGGCTGTTCGTCAATGGGTCACGAGAGATTGCGCTGGGTGTCAAATTGAACACCCATCACAGAAACAGCACAGTTGCGTGGAAGGCGTAAGAGTTCTGGACAACGAGTTAAAGCAGAAGTGGCTGAATCTCATTCCCGCTTGTGAATCGGAAGTAAAAGAGTCTCTAAAGCAACGCTTTGAATTAAAAGAACCTCATGATGGTTTTGTAATAAACATTTTGCGTAGAATTTACACGCTGACGCAGGAAAAACTGAGTGAATATAACCCGCTGTCCGAGTACCTGAGCAGAGATCCGTCCGAAATTCTGAGCCGGTTCTACATGCGGCCGGATGAACCTCTGAACAGCGCTGCGGAATCAACGGCCGCCGACGTGTGTAAAATTCTGATGGGGTCTGAGGATAACAGATCGGTGTAGTGATTCGCGAGAGAGAGAGATTGTGTATTTGTACATAAGACATTTATGGCACCGATGTTTTTTTGCTGCTACTAAGTTTATACATTGTATTTTTTTTTTTGTTAGACAAACCATAAACATTATTATTATTAGAAAAAACTGGGACCTTTTTGTTTTATTAAAAAACACCACATGTTTTTCATTTAATATTTTAGTCGTTTGAGTTTGTGTAATTGTTTATAGCACCTTTATGACATCTTTTGATCGCTGCTAGTAGTTTACATATTTTTTAACCCCTTTTGTGCATGTTTATTAGACAAACTGTATAGTCTTTTCATTTTAATATTTTAAACCATGTAATCATTTTCATTTAATATTTTAATCATGTAATCATTTTAATTTTTTAATATTTTAAATCATGTAACCATTTTTCATTTTCATATATTTAATAGTGTAATCATTTTTCATTTTCATATATTTAATAGTGTAATCATTTTAATTTTTTAATATTTTAAATCATGTAACCATTTTTTATTTTCATATATTTAATCATGTAACCATTTTTCATTTTCATATATTTAATAGTGTAATCATTTTAATATTTTTAACAGTGTAATCATTTTTTATTTGAATGTTTTTAATAGTGTAATCATTTTAATAATTTTAGCAGTGTAATCATTTTAATATTTTAACAGTGTAATCATTTTTTATTTGAATGTTTTTAATAGCGTAATCATTTTTTATTTGAATGTTTTTAATAGCGTAATCATTTTTATTTTCATATTTTAGTAGAAATGTGTAACCTTTTCATTTTAATATTTTAAACCATGTAATAATTTTTTATTTTCATATTTTATACTTCAGTGTTCATCACATTTAGTTTGAAACTAATTTACCTATATCTCAAACTAACGGTTTGTCAGTAGATTAGATACTAACAACCAAAAAAATTATAAAAGAAATAAACCGTTTATAACAACAAAAAACACATAAAAACCTTTAAACAAAACCATAAAAACCTTTTGAAGTCGTTTTCTGTCATCAGTTTGTTTTCTCCACATTTTATTTTAGACCGTGTTTTACCCAGGAGAAAATATAAAAACTCTAACGTGTTTCACACCTCGACCATTTGGACATGTCTCAGACGGCGCTGCAAGAGTTGTACCATAAACCCGGGTCGGAAGGCGGTCTGTGTGGTAGGGAGCCCTTTATCAAAAGCGTAAGGGAGGTGGGGTTGGCTAATAAAAATAAAGATGAAATTGATAGGTTTTTACAAAGTTCAGACACTTACACGCTACATAAACCCTGAAGAATAAACTTTAAAAGGAGTTTCGTACTAGCGTGCGAAAAAGATTCACAATGGCAGTTAGACTTGGCAGATTTATCCTCTCTATCGGAACACAACGATGGGAAAAAGTTTATTTTAACCTGCATAGATGTGTTTTCAAAATACGCGTGGGTGGAGGCGTTGGAAAATAAGAACGCCAAGAGCGTAACGAAGGCCTTTGAACAAATACTTTTACGAGGTAGAAAACCCGTCACTCTTTAAAGTGACAAGGGGCGAGAATTTTGTAATCATTTATTTAAAAAACTTTTAAACAAATATAAAATAAGACATTTTACTACGGCTAGCGAATTGAAAGCCTCTGTGGTGGAGCGATTTAACAAAACCCTCAAAACGCGGATGTTCAGATATTTTACAGGTTTTAACACCTTGAGATACTTAGATGTGCTTCAGGAACTAGTGAGCGCTTACAATCTCGCTTTTCACAGATCTATTAAAATGCGTCCCGAAGAAGTGAACGAGGGCAATCAGATACAGGTGTTTCATCATCTGTACGGGAAAAGAATGAGAGGGGGATTACCCCGACCCAAGTTTAAAATAGGTGACGCGGTTCGGATTTCGAAAGAGCGCAGGGTCTTCGCGAAAGGTTACGAACAGTCTTTCACGGATGAATATTTTTTTGTGGATAAAATTATTAAACGAGACCCGCCGATGTATAAACTAAAAGACCTCGATAATGAAATAATAGAAGGTTCTTTTTATGAAGAAGAAATGCAGAAAATTATTGTACCTGAAAATAAAGTCTATCGTGTAGAAAAAATACTGGCTAGGAAAAAAACTAAATCCGAGGTTCTCGTTAAGGTGAGATGGAAAGGTTGGGATAAAAAAATTTGACTCCTGGGTAAACGGAAATTCTATCCAGGACGCTCGATAAAAACCCCGTGAGAGAGCGGCGCGAGCCCCTATTCGGAAGCGCGGACCCCCACCATGGAAGAAACCAGAGATTTTTTCATCACTCTGCCGAGTAACGCTAGCGACAAATTATACCCTCAAAACGATATATCCAGCTACAGGGTGAAGTTAGCCAAAACCGTTCACCTCAGGGGCGGTTGGGAGGTCGGCTTAGCAGAAATTTCATTTCCCCAGAGTTGATACACGCTGGCGGACGGCGGGCGACAGGAAACGGACTTTTGGGTGTGCGAAGGGCCGGATCTCAGTAAACAGGTGGCTTTTAAAGTAAAATGCGGTTATTATACTTACATCGCTGACATTTTGACCGAAATGAACAAATATTTTAGAACCACCAAAACCCACGTCGAATTATATTTGGATAAGGTCACGAGACGGGTAAAATTAGGGGTCACACCGGAGGAGATTATACGACTGACCTCGCTGAACAGATGGCCTATTCGGATTCGAACGCACGGACAGTTGGCGCACATTCTGGGCTTCGAGGAACAGAAGTGGACTGACCCGACCGAAACTAAATTCCCTGCCCATATTAAAGGCGGAACGTTTTATTTGTTTCTTTATTCGGATATTTCTTCGCATCAGATTGTAGCCGATACCTTAGCACCGGCGCGGCCGTAGGTTTGATCAATTACCCCGCGGCCACTCTTTTTAGTCAAGTCGACCTGTCCCTCGGCGATAAGCTCATTTCTCAAAGCGGTTCCACGTACGCCTACAGGGCCGTCCTGGAGTGTTTGCTTAACTATTCCGAACCTACTCTGAATTCGCAATTCGCAGCGGGGCTGTTTCGCAAAGACGCGGCGGGGCGCATGGACGAAGCTGACCCGAACAGAGACAATGAGGGGTTAACGTGGCGAAGCGCTTATTGCGAAAGGAGCCGAACGTTCGAATTAATGGGACATTTGCATAACGACTTTGCATTTCAGGAAAAGCTTCTTTTTTCTTTTCCGTCGACGTGAGAATCGAGTTAGTTCGTAATAAAAACGAGTTTGTTTTAATGTCATCGGATCCGAACCCGGGCTATAAACTTCATATTTTAACGGCCCTTTTGTACGTGAAATGAATACACGTGTCACCCAGTGTGAAACTGGGGCACGCGTCAGCTTTGCTTCAGTCTAACGCGAGGTACCCATTAGAACGAGTTAACGTGAAAGTGTTAAGCGTGCCGGTGTTACGGTAAATTCAGTTCCCCCTGTTCCCCCCTCATCGCGCATGTCGAAATCATGACGTCTTCAGTCGACGCTCCTCCGCGGGGCTTAGATAGGCTTAATTCGTATGTTTCTGTACCGTAATTTCGTCCTATTCCTCGCGGTAAGCGAATTATCACGCTGTTTGTAAAATGACTCGTAGTTAAACACGTTTTAAAGTGTAAAATGTGTTGTTAGCAGATGTTTTAATGCTCAAACGCTACGTGGGCTATCTTGCTAGCTTTGGCTCCGTTTTCAACTACTCCGAGTAACAGAAGTTAGATTTATTGCGCCATTTCTGATTTAATTACCGTACATGCAGACACATTTTGTTGTTCAGACTTCAGTGATTTTAAGGTGTATTTATGTCCCATATCATCAGTCTCGCTAAGTTCTGTAAATAGATTTGAAACATTTGTTGCTGAAATAAATAAACTGCGTTAAGTTACACAGCACAGTAATTAGTCTGTTATTATTGTTAGACTACGTATCTCAGTGCACCTAGGAAGTTGGTTTCCCTGTAGTTTTTGAGGCTGAAGTCTTACTGTTATGGTACTAATGTGACTTGTCTTTACAGTAACTTTTATTCATATTTTATAAGAAAAGTGTTTTCCGCTTGTATATTACATCTGGAGTGGATTAACAGTACAGCAATGATGCTGATAATCTATTTCTGAGCATGATCATTTCACTCAGTAACTTTTATTCATATTTTATAATCTTTAGAACTGAGAATACAAGGGAACATCTCTAACCAGAGCCTGAGAAAAGTGGTTTCCCCTTGTATATCACAGTTGGAGTGAATTTAATGTACAACAATGATGCTGATAATCTATTTCTGTACATTAATGCACTATTATATTAATTTGTTTTTATTTTTATTTTATTCCAGCTGCTTCTTCCATTAACATTGTTTTGTACAGAGACTAAACAGATTTACCCAGTGACCCTAAAAAAAGTAAGTTCCAGGAAAAACTGGCAATTAGGATCAGTTTAATATACTATAATGCTTTCTTTGCTTTTTCTGTCCTCCCAGTACCTACAATGGATCAAAAATTTTAAACTGTAGTTAATTAAATGTAAAAAAAAGATACATTATATGTTTTACCATTTTTCTCAAATTGAATGATTACTACATGCAGATGTACTACAGTGCAATGTTTCTTGATACAGCTATGTC